ACCCAGGACCTTCTTGCTGTGAGGCATCGGTGCTAACCACTGAGCCGTCGTGCCGCCAAATATAATTTCAGGTTTCCTCTTTATAAGGACATCAAAAATTCCTCATTAAAATGACAAAAAATTAGGATTCAGACCAAATATTTATGTATTATTGTAACCAACAAGACAAATTAAGTCATATATATGGATTTAATTATGATATCAGGATGATCCAGGTATCAAAATGTAGCTTTTAAAGACAATAATCTGAAAATGTAATTAGGTCATTTTGACCAAATTTGACTTAATCCTCATTTCGATATAATGGCTCACAAATAAGAAGGCCGCTGCTTCCACATTCAGAGGAGTGGTAATGAGGAAGTCCCTTTTTTTTAAAACTAATCGTTAAAAAAATAAAAATCCCAGGTGAAACTCACCTGGTACAAATTGTTCTGGATGTCCAGGACTTCTTTGGGGAGCAGAAGAATCAAGTCCAGAGCGATGACTATATTCTCATGGATGATTGCAAGGTGCACAACCCTAAACAGAGAAGACATGTTTTTTTATCTTCATAAAACAAAACTGCAGGTCTAGTCATTCTTACGTTGAGCAACTACGCTGTAACATTTAGTGGGTGAGAAAAGTCAGCGCTTCGACACAAACGTTGCTTCACATTTTTCCTCGGTACTCATTTCAGAACAGTGCCTCAAAATGTAACTTGTCGTGGGCCACGCGGCAAAACTGAGTCGCTGCTATGTTGTGCAACACGGTAAGAAATAAAACTCTACAGAATCTTTGTGCAACAGTAAGTCCGATCRAAGGCGGACGCTGAAATCACCTTTAACCGAATACGATTTTGGAAAACAATAGGCGAGGAGAAGAACAAAACAAAAAGAAAAGAAAACACACAAACCTCAAAGGCTGTGTGGGAAGTTGTAGCAAACAAAAGCATGAAAGCAGGAAATGGAACCGAGCGTTGGGGCTTAATTTAGACTGACTGAGAGCCTCGTCTGAAAAAAAAAAAAAAGATTTCAAACTATTCAAATCAAAGCACGGCCTCGGGCTGCGACGACTCMGACGTTTGCAAGTTTAGGATCCACAAAACTCATTTCTGGCCGCAGAGAGTCGAACTGTAATGGTTTCTGCGCGGCCCGGCTCGACGAGTTCTCGTTTCAGAATAAATGTCGGGCGACCACAAGAAAAAGCTGGACACTGCAGTGGAGACAGAGTGGGATGGAAAGGTTCAGGAAATCTCACAGCACAGATCTTCATTCAGCTTCAACAAGCCTCCACAAACAACCAAAACGATGAAAAAAAAAACTAACATTTAACTTGTTTTATTAAGTCGTTTTTTTCCTTCAGATTGAAAGAAATTAAAAACTTGCAGTGAGCATTAAAATGCTCAAATTTAAATGGTTATAGTTTATGACTGAATGCAATTTCTGTGCGAACATTTCAATTGATGCATTAAATCCTAAATTATAGAAATATCGAAACATTTATCTGAACTTAAAAAAGTGCAAGTTTAAATTAAAGATGCTGACATTTGTGTCTTGTGTGGGTTTATTGTTTTGTTTGATGTTGTCTGTTTTTTATGTGCATTTTTAGCTCACAGTATATTAAGTATTTTTTGTAGTGTATTGTAATTGGTATTTTGTAATTATGCAGTTTTACTTTTATTCTTTTAGGGAGACTTTTACCATCAGGTGAAAACTCTGGCATATTTACTGAAATGTTATTATTGCGCACTGTCCCTGTGTCCCGTGCGTGGTCGTGCACCTCCAAAATTTTGCAACTCCGCAAAGGCTGAGCACGCCGCGCACCATTCAAACACTTTGTTACACTTTTGCTCTCCTACTTACATTTTCACAAGTTATAAAGTGCACTGCCACATGTACGCTTGGAGAATACTACAACAACGCTGGCGAAGGGGCGTGACTATAACCCAGCCTTCAGTCTTTGCAAAACATGAAAAATTGTAAAAGAAAATTAAGGACAGCTTTAAAAATATCTATCTTTTCACACACAAAAAGGAAGAAACAGTATCTGATTAAAAACTGTACGTGTCACCACACTGCAATAAAAGTATCTTAATACAAAGACAGATCCGTTATTTATTTATATATTTTTGTCAACCCTGTACCGTGGGTATAACCGATTCAGTCTGCAGACTAATGTAACAGTTTCAACCCTCTAAGCGTTTTAGTGTGAAAGAAACTTCCTGGTTTGAGTAAGCCTTGAATGAATAAGGCCTTAAAAATCCCACAAAGGGGGAAATGAGTGTTTGCATAGTTCAAGCAGCCCAGCGTGGTGCGTTTCAGGTGTTTTTCCCCCTTCCCAGCAGGTATCTATTGTTAGGGTGTGAGAATGAAACCATATGGCCCTGACGATCAGCGAACGGAAACGAAAAGGAGGTCAGAGACGCAGCGACGTTTCCTCAATCCTGTGACTACAGAACACATAACCAAAAAACCTGCTTTGTCGTCGAAGCAGACCGATGGCACCGGATGAGCGGCTAGGGTCTGCATGGGCCGACCAAGCTGCATGTGGAGGCTGAGGTGTCTGGATGGTGTGCAAAAATCAAACAACACGAAAATAATCTGGTGCAGTTTCATGGAGTCAGATTGAGGAAAGAGCAGGAAAACAGAACCCCAGAAAGAATAATCTCAACCTGTGAACGGTGCGAACCAAAACGCACACAGACACATTGTTCTGTCTCGATAAACAAGTTCTGCTGATGTAAAAAGTTGTGCAGCTACCTGGCAACACGTGGCTTGTGATGCAGTGTGTGGGGGGGGAAGTCCAGGCCTATCTGTTTCACTTCTGTTTTCTGACTGACGCCTCGAACAGCAGAATGTCCACATTCACCAAGACAGGGACAAAGTTCAACACAAGCCTTTACTATGAAATCCCCTTAAACTCCAGCAGCAAAATAAGGCCTCAGAGTCACAGTAATCAAACCCTGTGGACTCTTTATCATCTGGGAAGAGATAAAAGCACATATGATAACCTCTAGATCAGTGGGTTTCAAATTATTTCAGCTTCAGGCCCTCTAAATAACAGTTTTACAAACTTGTGACTGCACATATTACTGGTTTAGGTATGCAAATGTTGCGAATAGCTCTTAAACATGAACTTAATAACAATATAACCTTATTTTGTTTATTATTATTGTTTTAATTTTGCAATAATTATGATGAAAATATGGCATTAACAATTTATTTGCTTTATCATTTGATGCTTCATGACCCACAGAGATGTACCAAACCCAACTTTAGGAACTACGACTTTGGTTGATTTTGGGGTAAGTTTTTGATGGAAAAAGCTAAATATGACTCAGTTCTGATGGCTTTTTTAACACACGTGATAGGAGTTATACATGAGTGATGTGATCAATTTAATGTGATGTAACCAACCAGGAAACAGTAAATATGAGTTCTTTTTATTGAAGAGAAGCTGCATTTGACAGGCAAAGCAAAAGTAAGTAAGTAAGACAGCAATAATAAGTAACAGTAAGTAAGTAATAGTAAGCAAGTAATAGTAAGTAAGTAATAGTAAGCAAGTAATAGTAAGTAAGCAATAATAAGTAAGTAATAGTAAGTAAGTAATAGTAAGCAAGTAATAGTAAGTAAGCAATAATAAGCAAGTAATAGTAAGTAAGCAATAGTAAGCAAGTAATAGTAAGTAAGCAATAGTAAGCAAATAATAGTAAGTAAGCAATAATACGTA